ACCGATATCAAAATCCAAGATAGGAACACCGAGGGACATTTCATTCATACTGAACTCATCACAATAGATATTGATAGCCAATACTGATGGCATCAAAAATAGTTGTAAATACAAGTACTCATACACACTAGAGCATTCAGTCTCAAATTGTGTGGGATAGACATGTCTACAGTGTGTCCCAAAAAAAAGGAAACCAGCAATAGATTGCTTATTTCTCAAATATGAATAATAATAGGAAAATTTCACAGCTACCATCTGATAGGTTATGATGTCCTTTTTCTTATGATACCGAAGGTGTTTATTTTTCTTCACGGATGACTGAGTTTTAAGAGATTTAAGTGACCATGTCAGAAATTGGTTTGTGCCACTTTTTCTGTCATGAATGGCTGAACAATGAGGGATTAAAATGGCTATGCAAGACCATGTCCTATTCGAAATACTAATTTCTGAACAAGCATACAACATAGCAAGTTCATGCAGCTGACCCAAGATCAAAGAGTATTCGTAGTAAGTGAGTGGCTCAGAAGTGGGAGCCTTCAGCAGGTTGCTGATCAGTTTAGAACCACGAAGATTGAGTGGCCACCGAGATCCCCAGACCTGACACCCTGCGACTTTTTCCTTTGGGGTTATCTCAAGGGTAAAGTCTTCACAACACCACCAAGAGATGTTGATGATCTAAGGGCCAGGATTGTCGCAGCAGTGGAGGATCTAAGGGGACAGAGAGACATCATCAGGGATGCAGTACGTGCGAAGAGATCAAGGGCAGACATTTGCATTGAAAGGAATTGGGGTCATGTTGAAGGACACTGGGGTTAAAACAACTTTGAATGGACATTAGGATTTAAAAGGGGTGTTAAATATGATATGTGTAATTTTAATTGGAATAAATGAGTAAAAGAGTGATATCCTGATGTTTGTTGTTACTTATCACTTTGTTATGATGGTGAAGTTGACTTGGCTGAAAGTGGTACAAACTCATTTCTGACATGGTCACTTAAATCCCTTATAACTCAGTCATCCGTGAAGGAAAATAGACAACTTTGGTATTATAAGAAAGAAGACATCATAATCTATCAGATGGTAGCTGTGAAATTTTCCTATCATTATTCATATTTGAGAAATAAGCAATCTATTGCTGGTTTCCTTTTTTTTGGGACACCCTGTATATGCGTTTCAAATGGTCAACTTTCATAAATAATTCTGAAATTTCAAGGCAGAATATGCAAGGTTTACCGAAATAATCAAATGTTTCTCTCAGGCTCTGTTCACCAAATGTCCTGTAGTATTTCATTAAACGGGGCTTAAAGTTCGTTTGATTGTACGGGAATATATACAAATGATTTCAATGAATAAGTATAGGAGGGATATCATACCTTCATGGGGTTTGGTACTGTTAAAAAAAGTTGGGTGTCTGCAAACATGTCGATGGAAAGTTCTTTACTCGTTTTTGCCATATGTGCTTCACCGGCCAGCCATACATGAGCAGCGGGAAACAACCTGAATTAAATTGCACACAATATAATAAGGTAGCATATGGTATGATTTTGTCAACTCAAAATAATGATGATGCCTTTATTGTTTAGATAGAATCGATGAGTCCATTAATATTTAGAGAATATGCATAAATTCGACTCAACATACTTGTAATCAAAATGCTGATCTCCATTCCATAATTTTACTGCAGTTGGAGTTCTCGAAAAACGAGACGTAACTTCCAATTGTTTAGTTAGCGAGAATCCCATTCCTCTTACACATATATCAAATCCAGTTGAATTCTCAATTTTACCAATCATGGGTATTTTACTAAGAATGTCACAACCAGAGTAAGTATCCCGTTTTCTCCTCGATAGTGGAGTCGGGAACATGAGAATAACTGTACCGCCAAGGTCTTGGCATAAATCTACGATCAAACAAAACTGCTGTCCTTTTAGTACTGGAATCGTAACCTCGTGATCGAAAACAACCAATTTAGTGTCCGTTTCAAAGCGAAATGTCGAGTATATCTTGTCCTTGAAAACAGGGGCTCCAGCACATGGTTTAATAAGGGATAACTGTTCTCCAGTCATGACGCTAGATTTCAAGCTTGTTGTTCCAAGAAGGGTTTTGTCGGTTGGAAGGATGCTTATCCATTTCGGAAGGAGGTTCGTCAAAGTGTTGAAATATGTGTTGATAAAAGAGTTTCCTTTAATGAAGTCTTGTATATCTTGTAAAGTAAGTGAGATATTACACCCTGGCTTCCTCGGAGTGTTTAAGAGTGTCCCATCACTTTCTTTCCTGTATGAACTAGCCAGAGAAAGTTTCCAGTTTGATCCAGTCTCAACCTGAACTCCTCTAAGTGAAATTGGTAATGGGAAGCCATTGATGACGACAAATGTAATACCAAGCGTAAATTTAACATTTGTATTTGAGTTAAGCTGATACCATTCCGCCGTAGAAGATAGTCCAATATCGGCATCAAACACAGCTGGGCAACTGGTTAAAGCTAGTGGAAAGCATCCACCGGGTAAAATCTTCCGCGCTAGTTTTAAACGTGCAAACACATCTTTGACAAACACTTGCAAATCATTGACAAACTCAAATATATTTGCGTCAATTCCAGAGAGAATGAACTTTATTGCTTTTACACCCGACGAAATGCTTTTCACGTCAAATACACCGGATGTTACATCATTTGTCAGTTGTAAGGATGGAGGTAGGAACGAGAGTCCCGGGGCAGTAGGAGTAATAGTAAGACTGGTATCTGGCTTTGAGTAGATATAAAATGTCAGGTTCTGGCTCGCCACGGGCCGCCACGGGCCCGGGGCTTTCAAAATCTCTGAAGATGAGCAGGAGATATTGATGAGCAGGAGATAAATTAATTGAATGGGGATTAGGAGATAAATTAATTGGATGGGGCTTTCATCTTAAATGGGTGAGAGATAAGATACGCATGACATCATTGTTATCTTAAATGGGTGAGAGATAAGATGCGCATGACATCATTGTTATCTAAATGGGTGAGGACTGAATTTTAAAATGGAAGCATAACAAATCAATAACACAACATTTTTGTTTGATGTATTTATTTTACAATTTTCTTAAGAGGTCCGGTTAACAATTTCTGTTAATAACAAAATCAATAACTAAACACCTTGGTTTATAAAGTAAATATTGGTTTAATAGATAAATACACAAAATACTTATTTTACAATGACATAACATTTTGGTTGATAGTATAATAGCATTTAATCTGACTTTGACGTCATTGAATATATTCTAAATTACACAATGATGAGTCATCAGACTTCTAGAACATATTGTTTTATTTATTCTGAAGTTAATGTTACATTTAATCCTTCTTCATAATTATCAAAATGAAAAAGCATCTCTTAAAAATGTATGGATCTTTTCTTAGTGTTCCAACTATATGTTTTTTCAAAACCATTCTAATGTATTCAATTTTGTATATTTGTTTTAACATATATTTATCAAAATCTGATTGAGATAGTCCATACTATTTTAAAAAAATGTTGTCTTTGTTGTACATCCATTATGTATATATCTATTTACATTCCAAAGTTTAACATTGTTTGATCTTCACCTTTGTTTTCAAAAAAAAAAAAAAATGATTCCTCCTATCTGTTAATGTTACATTTTTATCATCATCTCACATATTGTTATTATTTTTAAGAAAATTCATATGATAATCATTTAGCTCATCCTGTAAGAATGGATATTGTTGTATTATCATATCCATATAAACTCGTAGTGTTAATAATCTATTAACTGTAAAACGATGATCATCAAACATATGTTTTACAATTTCATCAAATGCTTCAATAGAATCTGCTAAAACCACTTGTTTCTGTATAATTGTTTGTTTAATCAGATACTTTTTGATCTCAATTACCAAATAAGGTAATAAAACAGACATATTATCAAAATATTCAAACTTGATTATTGCTGCGCTCCTGAATTACGTCTAACATTTATCAACACTAAATACTCATTGATATTAACATAATCTAATTACACAATGTTATGTAATCAGATTACACCATAAACGTGAGTCATAACTTCATTGTATTATGATGAAAGGGGAATTAACTTTATTTATTTGGCCCCATTTTAGGAGCTTTTTGGTTATTTTTTTAAAGCTGTAGTCTATCTATTCAAATATGCTGTTTTGACGAAAATATCACATGCTGTTTCAATATAAACTACTACAAACGTTGTACCAACGAAAACCTTATTTATTTTGTTTTCAAAAATTTGACCCAAAGGTCTTTGCATTTTTAAGGAAGCAAGAAATTTATTCTTTGCTAACCATTTTCTTCTGCCAAATTCAAATGTTGTTTTGATCAATGTTTCTAAATTTTTTAATGAATCCTCATTTAGGATACTTTGATGACTTAATGATAAGTCACGTATTTTGTGTTTATTCACAATGTGATTGAAACAGCGAATGTGAATCGTCTTATTCATCTTGAAATCTAATAGACCCAAACTGACCACTTCAATTTTTAAAAATTCTTATATAAATGGATCATTCCAAAAAAAGGGATGTCAGATTACAAATATCAAATATTATTCTGAGTTCTGTTTTAATTTTCTGTCTTTAGTATATGTTGATGTACTTACCTAATCATTGATAAAAACACAGAATTGCATTAAATATCCTCATTTTCATAACATTCACATCAAAAGCTTTATTTCAAATAAAAATATAAGTTTATCATTTTAGTCGGACATAGACTGAACACTTATCTTTAGGGTCACAAATTTTTGGCGCATAAATTTTAAATTTACACTCCGGCAAGAGAAAGACATTGCATAATATGAAAAGCGTTTACATTAGATTTCAAAACATTGAATAATATTGATAACTTTTGTAAATATGGTAGTATTAATTCTTTCAATATATTTGTGCAATATCATACTTGATTTCAAAGTAAACGTTTCATTTATATAATGGATATGGATCACTCAACAGATGCGAACATGAGTTTTTTGAATTCTGAAAATATTGAAGAAAAGCTAGTGAAAGAGTTGTTATCTCTCCAGAAAGATAATATATACATCCAAGCTGTATCATTAGTGCTAAGTCAACAACTGTCTACTCTGTGTGAATCTCTATCTATTCATCAAAAAATAGAATTATATTATGACGATGTTTGCTCTGAAATTCAAACAGACAAAAACAGAACATTTGATACATATACAATTCATTTAGCATTTGCAGCATACGAAAATATTGTTGGAGACTCATTTGATGAATTTGTACAGAAGATGATAATGATTTTGAAACTATATGAAGATAAAATTAAGCAAGAGATAATCACTTTAGCTATTTAATATGATGAAAAGAACATAAACATCTTACACATGTTATTTTAAAGTGAAATATTGATGTGATGCATCATAATGTAATATATATATTATATTGTATTATATTGTATTGTTACATATTAATAGTATAAAAAACAACACATTTTAAAGTTCTTTTTTATAATTTACAATAAACATTTATTGAATATATAGTGCTATATATAAGTTAAAAATAAGAAGAACTAATAAAATACGTTTGCTATATATATATATATATATGTTTTGTTTTTGTGTATTATGATGTAATGTTTATTCCATCTACTCATAACGTTAATCACTGTTCATTTGTTGGTTTATGTCTATTCCTCTTACAAATATGTATTGAATGAATAACTGCATCTTTGTATTCTGTCATACACATCAAACGTCATCGTCAAATCTCTCTGAATTCCATCAATGATTTTAGAAATACACAACTCATTTTCAAAACAAGTCACGTGACATCTGTCTGTTATATCAATTCTCTTGTCCAATGGATCGAAATGGTTTATCTTCATAATTTGCTGAAATTGATATTTACTGAGGAAAAAGTGAGATATCTTTTCATTTTGTGTAGTATATCTCATGTCAATGTATTTTCCAAATTTACCATCTACAATGACTAATCTCAACTTATCTGTCAATTCAATTGATTTAATATCCTTATTCATTGTGCTTCCTTGAATTAAACAATATGTAAATGATTAAATTAGATAATGGTTACTTCAATGATTTGACTGTAATATATACTCAAAATGATATTATGTAACTAATAGTCAATCTTCTAGAATTTTCTAGATGTAATTAAATATCACTTTTTACTAGATAGTTCTAGAATTATTGCATAAGACCTGTGTAACAAATCTTAAAATCACTTCAATTGTTCTAGAACAATTTGTTTCGCAATAAGAAGCAACAAATCTTGGATTGATCAAATGTTTTTAACAAAGTACAAGCTTAATCCCCTTAATGTTATTTTAAAGTTGAATTCATCGATCAACAGTGTATGCAATTTTAATTTCAATATTGAACCAACACTGTAAAGAATCAAATAATACTATTGACTAATCAAACAATGGAGCACTTTCAGTGAAGGTAATATAAGGTAGATATTAGATTTTAGATTAAATATGTGTATAGGTGGAAAAGCTTATTTATTTTATGTCTTATATTGAATTAGTCTGACTTGTTTTTATTTTGACAGTATTAGTGTGACACTTGTTGGATATCATTGTTAATTACATCATATGTTAATCCTCAATGTTCTAGAATATCTTGTGATTATAGTGTAAATCCTCCTTTCTAGAACTTTCCAGAGCATATGTCATAATTTTTACCTTATAAAATCTCTCAAAATTTGATAAACAATTCACAAACACAGTTGCAAACAACTAAACAACATGGCTACAATAAAAACAACTTTCAATTGTGATTGTGGTAAAATATATAAACATAAGAGAGGATTGATGAGACATCAAAGAATGGAACATGGAAGTCAAATTCAGCAACATGAATGTGATATTTGTCAGAAAGTATTCAATCACAAAGAGCATTTACAAAGACATAAAAGGATACACAGCGATCCAAATCATGCTTGTGATGTTTGTGGGAAACTTTTTCATAGAAGAGATAGATTAAATCAACATAGGGAAATGCATAATTTTCAAGTCGGTGCGGGTCCTGGAACATCAAATGATACTGAAAGGTCATTAGACAATGAAAATAATGCAACAGAGGAACCTATGCAAGTTGATGAAGTTGACGCTACACAAGAAAAGACAGTAAACGATAATGATCAATTGGAATGTGATTTTGAAGAACAAGCGATACAGGGAACATTGATTGTAAAAACAATTAAAGCATACGGGCAATCAAAATTTGATCCCTTATATTTTTTTAAAAGAAATGAAGAGAAAGTGAAACATCTTTTGTCAAAACAAATTAAGAAGCTTGGCAGTATTAAATGGTACATGTCAATGCAAGTCCAGTTCAAAAAACAGAAAAAAGAAGAGACTGAGTTGGCATGGCCTCATTTTAGAGGTCATTGTCAAACAGCAATAAAAAAGGTAGATTTAGATGATGCATTTAAGGAGAGTGTGAAAAAAATGTATGATGCTTTCATTTCCTATCAGCGTGAAGGCAGTTCATGGATACTTGATTACGTTATTGAATTGAAAATACATATTGTCAAATGGAAACCAATTAATGGGAGTAGTTATATCCCTACCCCCTTAAAACTGAGGGCTAAACATGCTATTATCAATGTTCAAAATAAGGACAAAAAATGTTTTGTTTATGCAGTGCTTTCAGCATTACATCCACAAAAACACAATGATTATAGAGTTAACAAGTACAAACCATTTATGCATGAACTCAACATGGAGGGGATCAAATATCC